TTGATTGCAGTTATTTCCTCAAAAGGATGTGAAATAAAATAATCAGTTAACGGTACCAACATTTTGGTCCAGGCCTCTTTCATTATTTTTTATTTATTTTTTACTGTTGAGGCGTAGTTGATAGGCAATGATTTAGTTTTGTTTGTTTTCATAAAATAATTTAGTATTACTTTTGTCAGAATCAAGTTATTTCTGTGATCATTATGGGTTTTTCTTTTAATAAATGAGAGGTCTACTTTGTCCATGCGTGTAACATCCTAGATAAATTTTAAAAAGGTGTAGTTTTCCCTTCCTTCGTCATCTTGACAAAAGATAAACAAGAAGTAGATAAAGCGGAGGAGGGGAGGTTCTGTGGATGAGGGCAGCAGTCCTGAGCCCTACCAGTCTAAGCTGCTGCCTCAGAGCTTCTTCCTCCTACATATAAGCTTAGGTGGACCATCAATATCTTGAACCAAACACTCTTAGTAAACAAACATGAATACATTTCATGTCTCATGACCTATTGGCACACAATGAATGCTCATACCTTATTTGAGATTACAAGGATAAGGCGAAAGCATTTTTCCAATTTTAATGCATTTTGTGTTGTTGTTTTTTTGTTCAAAATGATGTGACTGAGTGAAAAAAAAAAGGTTGAATCACTATACTAGACTGGACAGATGATGCAGACTTGTTTTCATGCAGTTTTAATGCATTTACTCTTTCTTACGTGGAAAATGGGCTGCATAGTGGTGCAGTGATGTAAACTGGTACACTGCTGCCTTGCAGAAAGAAGGTTCTGAGTTCGATTCCCAGCCCGGGGTCTTTCTGCATAGAGTTTGCATGGTCTTCCCGTGTGCATTGTTGCGTGTCCCTGTGACAGACTGGCGATATGTCTAGGGTGTAGCAGCCCCACTACAACCCTGACAAGGACTAAGTGTGAGAAAGTGGATGGTCGGATAGATAATGTGGAAAGTCCTCATTTTATTTAAATTACATTGTAAGAAAAAAATTTACTGTATTACCAAGTAAACCCAGCATGTAGGAAGAGCAGGTCAGCAGAAAGAAGCTGATCAAGGTAAAGCTTGTGACATCAGTTCTCCCTTGGCTAAGCTAAGGGCAAAACATTTTTATGGGAACCACAAAAGAAGGCTTGAGTCTGGACAACAGGACTTTCAGTTTTTCTTAAAACATTTTCTTTATCAGCTTATCAGCTCGCACTAGAGCAACCTGTAATTGGAGCTCTGAAGTTTTTCAGAATATGGAGGTCCATCCTTCAAAAAACATTCCAAGTCAGCTGCAAATCAACCTCCTTCTCCTGGGTCATTGTTCCTTTTGCTGTGAGTTGTGCCATCTTGACCATCTGAATCTAAATAAGTCTGCTTACGAATGTCATTTGTTTAGAAAGGGTTTCAAGACAGTGTTGTATATGATTGGGAAATGAAACCACAATCACAATCACTCCTCGGATCAGTGTTGATCCTCCACAATACTTCAATTCTTTAGCCTTTTGGCTGCAACCTAAACCACCAGAAATGGGATCATCCCTTCCAATCAAAAATCTCGCCTGTTGATTACATCTAATTGTTGTTTTGAAGACATGGTGACCACAAGGTGCCACTGTTTATAGCAGTGCTCTAACTGTGTGCTCTATAGACTTTTTCCTCCTTTTTATATCCTCCTCCTCTCTGTGTGGAGACAAATTAAACCTGGGCCTTCGTCCAGCTTAGTGGCTAATAAAACTTGGTCTCTATATCATGTTATATTTATTCACCAAGGGAAACAGAAAGTCATGGATTACTAATTAGATGTTCCCAAAGGTTAATAAACTTTAAAACGTAGAGTATAAATGTTCTGTATTTATTTTAAAAGAATTGATGCTTTGAACAGTTACTCATCTCAGACGTTCCATATTCTTCTGCAGAACAAGAAGAGCTCACTTTTCCCATGCAAACACGATAAACAAGGGAGGTTTGTTCATCGTCTGCATAATTTCCGCAGCCTTTATGGCCTAGTTTTCCGAGAGTACAGCGCTTTAGTGAGCGAACTGCAGGAGTATTTGTTTTAGTGTCTGTCAAGGAAAAATTGACTGAAAAATCAGACGTTCTCAACGCAAATATGCGTCGTCTTATTCTTCATGAATTATTCAAGCTTTGCTTTGGCTTTTGAGCTGTTTCTTTGGATTCAAACCTTTGATGGATTAGGATGATGGCAGAATAGGTACAAGCAGCAGCAGAGGTCAGAGTGGATGTCAGGATTTCGTTGTTTTTTTTTCTGACTCTCCAATGATTTCATTTATGCTCTGGCAGGATTTCAGAGTCATTGGCAAGCTCTCCGTTCCTTGATCAAAGCTTTCACGCTATAGAGATGCTCCAGCGCACAAAGCATTGACAGAGAATCACTCCATTTCTAATTATCTCCAAGACAATGCAGACAACAGAGAGAAGGGAGGCAGGAACATCTGTAAGCTTGATAAGCGTGGTGACATTATGGAGTGTGATCTGCTTCACCAATCACAACAGATCATGCAAAGCAGTCAGACGCTTGGTTAAATTGACTAAAACCTTCGCTTTGATCAAGCAGGCGTGCTATGTTAAGTCATTTACAAGAACATTCCGCCTTTACATGGCTGCCTCTAATGCACTGATGTGTGGGTGTTTGTTTTTCAAACCTTCACGTTTAATCATAACTGTTTATGTTTACCAAGGTACATTTTCATGTTTACATAGAAGTGTTTTGTTATTTTTCATTTTTTAGTTTCATTCAAATATTCTTATCTATTTCAAAGCAGTTTTCAGTAATATGCATAATCATTGGTTTGAATGTGATTTTTTTTCCTACTCTAAAGTATACTAAAACAGTCTGTGATAACATATAAGCGTATGCAGAACTCCGTCAAACAGGAAATGTTTATTTTGCAATTCATTGAACTCCTGAGGACATTTAAAGACAATGGGATTGAATGCTAATTTATCAGCAGTCACTCTTTAGAGTGAGTGTTGTATGTGAGGAGTTGCCATTTTAAATATCTGCTTCCTTTAATTCTAATTGTTTACTTTCTGTTTGCATCAAGGGTCATCTTATCTCTTTCCATTCTTCATTAATCCCCTCACAGTTCTCTTTTTCATTAGCTGTTTCCATTTCAAATGTATGCAAGACTATGTCGATATTATTCTAAATTTGTAAAATGCAATGTTTTGCAGCTGTACTATTTTCATTTAAAGGGAATCCAACTAAAATTACTCTTGGATATGTTTGTTCACACAATAATTTGGATGTTAACACATGAGATATACCCATGGGGAAGTGATGGCCCAATGGTTAGAGCAGTGCGCTTGTGCTCTGAGAAGGTTGCAAGTAACCGGTTTGATCTCCACAGCCGCACTCTGGGTCTCAGAGCAAGACCTTTAACCCCACACTGCTCCCTGGGTGCCACACAATGGTAGCCCACTGCTCCCCATAGGGATGGGAATTTCTCCATTGTGAGATCCATAAAGTTCAATAAAAAAAAAAAAATTAATAAATATATATATGCTTAACATCATGCGTCACTTTTCTTTTCCTTTTGGGAAGAGTGTACAGATGGTTTTAAAATGATAATTATGCCACTAGACATAATAAAAAAAAATAAATAAATACTAAATCTCAAGGACTATCCAAACAAAAACAAAAACTTTTTAAAACAAACTCCAGAGCAGCTATTAATGAAGTCATTGCCTCTAAGCATCCTTCTGAGCTGTAGGGCTGGTAACTGGTAGCTCCTCAGGTGTTTGTTAGACTTTACTCAGGTAGACAAAATGTGAGAGCTGAGAATTACCTTTATGTCTAATCAAAGTCAAACCTTTTATGTTTCTGGCTTTTTGCTTACTCTGATAACCGTCATGGTGTAGCTAATAGGATCTTTCTGAATAAGAGGCTTCTGGTTTAGTTTTTTTCCTGATCATAGGGTCTGAGCTTTAGCCATTTAGCGTCCACTAGCTGCATGGCACCTTAAATGCCCTTTCGGAGACAAAAACATGTTTTTTGGGGGGCTGAATCATAAAAAGTTTAATCTCCTTTTATCTCTATAAAGCTCTGTTTGTAATAGAGATGATGCTCTTAATACAGAGCATCAACTCATCATATCTGCTGCTAAGTCATTTGGTCTGCATTACGTGGTAATCAGGACAAAAGCCGTTCTACGACCAATCCAAATATCTTTAGAAAAGACAATTGTTTTTCTGTCAGCCTAATGGTTTATATAACCCCTCAGAGACATGAAGAATATTCCTTTGAAATATTTCTGAGTATTTTGGCTGAATCAGGGCAACCTGTTCAGCAAACATGCAGACACTAAGTGTTTCCTGGCTGAAAGCCACAAAGCCAACAGAAAGAGGTCAGTCTTAGCAATTAATATTATTATTATGATATATTAGTCCCACGTCTTATTTTATGAGACCGTTTTTCCTAATTCTTGTTGGGTTTTTTTTTTTTTTTGCATCTGCAGGATGACTTTGCTGTCCCCCTGTAAACATGTAGAGCTTTAGTACATCAAACCACAGTGAAAGTGTCAGTTTTATTCCCTTTTCTTTTTTATCTCATCCCGGTCCCCTGAGCAACAAACAGCCCTTTACAACAGATGAAAGGCTGTGTGACTCAGATCACAGCTGAGAGCCCGTGTTGCTTGTGTTATTTTTGATGCTTCAGCCCCCCATCATCAATCGAGCCTTCCTGTATGGGCGCCGGAGTACAGGGTCAATTGTCTTCATTTTCAAAAAGTTTAACAGTGATGAGATGAGCCCCCCCTCCCTCAGCTCATCCTTCAGCTCCTGTTGGATCTTGAATCCTGACAGAATCGTGTTTCCCTGAAACACTCACTTCAAATCTGCCCTTTTTTTTTCTCTCTAACACATATCAACTTACCACATGTGTCAGCTGTTGGAAGATTACCTTTGTTTTCAGTTTACTTTATAGTATTTGACACTAAAGTTGTATTACAAAAATGCATTTTGATTGTTCCTCTCCTGTCTTATATCCTGTAGGAAACATAAACGAGTGCCAACTGAACTACTACTTCTTCCTCCTGGCAGGCATCCAGGGCCTCACATTGCTCGTCTTCCTCATTGTTTCTGTCAAGTATGACAAACAGAAGAGCAAAACAGAAAGTCAGCGACAGAGATACTCCTCCTCTTGACCTTAGTACCAAGACCACCAGCCTCCTATTGTCGCAGTGCCAAAAGATGTATTTACTAACGATTAAATAGCATTTTTCTTTGTTATTATTTTTACATCGTGAATATATTCTTATTTATCCTTGTTTTACCTTTTTGATCCTCTTTCTCATACAGAGGTTTTCTGACATTGACTGACTGTTTTCAGGTACCGCCGACTGAAAAGGAATTGTTTAAAGTCGTAGGGAAATCATGTTTGAATGTCAAATCATTCTGGGTTAAACATGTACTTTTTATCAGACGATATTATCCCAAAAGTTAGACAATTTCTATATATATATATATATATATATATATATATATATATATATATATAAAAAAAAAATCCTGTCTTAAAATCTGTGGGGGTTTTTTCGTTATCTTATGCAGGCCAGTTAGTTATACGTCAGCTTGTACACCTAAATTCAGCCAGTCATATATCAACAGTCATCTGTCAATCAAATTTTTTTGGTCATAACATCTTGATTCATATGTCGCAGCTAATATACGCAACGGTTGAAATAAGAATCATTTACTTTACCACTGAGTTCCGTCCCAGTGTTCACGGGGACGGACATCTGTGTCTTCAGCAGGCGTAGAGCTAACAGAACTGGCAGCGTTGCGAGGCAAGGGCTCAAACATGTACAGCTGGAAGCCTTCTACACCAAACCAAGCTTCTGCCGCCCTGGCGTCCTCTTCCACAACATATTAGCCCCCGCTTTCCTCCTCTAAATAAAAAATGGATGACGGAAGAGACTCATCCACGACCTCCAACCCCAAACTCTCCTCCTCTTGCATGTTTCCTCTGTCCATATTTTTCCTTGACAGTGTCGTTTCTAAGTCACCAATTTAGTGCTACTTGGTCCCAATGGAATTTCCCATTAGGAACCTACTAGCACTAAGTTGCTAACTGGTTAGCAAGATGCTTCCGACAAACCGGCCACATACAAACCTGCTTGCGATCCTTCCACCACAACAATCCCGCCATCTTGATGAACGACCATCGCATTCACTTTATTCACTCGTTTATAGTCGTGCACCATTCGGGAGAGTTCGGAAATGCAACGGTTGGAACCGCTATTTCCCTACGACTTTAAAAGATTTTGCTCTGTTTCTACTCCTTTTGCCTTTTTTGATCATTTGCACTAAACCTGAGTCATGGTCCCATCAAGAGATGATGTTCAATGAGAAAGCTGACTTGTTTTTACGTATTGATTCCCACTCCCTAATTACAAAATGCCATTTTATGACTTATATCCTACCTTTACAAAGACTAATATTTTTACTAATTATTTGATGATTCCAACATAATTCTTTAATGAATGTCAGACAGATTTTTCACTTTCTAACCCACTTTTTGATCTTTGAATAAATCCTGTATTGTAATCTAATTTTTAGAGCAGTGAATCTTCTGCATACTTTAGTTCCACTGCCTGTGATTAAACTGAATTCTTTAACCGCGACAAAGCTATTGCATAAGTTCACTATTAATCCTTCAACAGCCCGGCTAATGCCTAAGGACAGCTCCTCACATTAGAAAATAACAGATAATCAGCACTGAGAAGCACAGAACAAATTATTTAATTGCTGAGAGAAAAAAACTGCTTTCTGTATTTAGTTCTTTTAGACTGATTTCTGTTTTTGCTGTATTTATAAGACTGATGCATTTGTTTTAGTTTTATTCAGTTGTATAAGGATGGGTGTAGGAGTGTGTGTGTGTGTGGGTGTGTGTGTGTGCTCTTGTCTTGGCATCAGACTGAGAAAAACTTTTGTGATTTCACCATTAAATTGAGGATCTGTTGTAAAATAAAGACATTTTCCTGGTCCTCACGAGCTATTTTGCTAACAGTTAGCAAAGTAGGTTTAGGGACAAAGTTTAATTGAGTGTATTTTAGGTAGAGATATGCACTGGTAATGGTTAAGTTTAGCGATATTGTCAGGTTTTGGCTGTAGAAAGACTCAAAAACCACTAAAAATTAATAGAAGTCAATACATGGTCCTCACTACATATAGCAAGATAAGAATGTGTGTTTGTCCTGTAAGATATGAGGTTAGGTAACAAACGAGTTGCAAAGTTTTACTATGAGGAATCTCTCAGGGCTTTAGAGAACAGTGAATTACTAAAGTGATACTTCAGGAAATGTACCACTGCCTTAGGAATCACACAGCTGTTTATTGTGGGTGAAAGCAAAGATGCAGTAAAAATAAAACACGTCTAAAGCAGCAGTTTTACTTCCTCTTTGTGATATAAAATAGCTGTTCAATGTTTTTTTTTTTTTTGATGCGTTCAAATTATTAGATTGATTTGAATATCTCTGTCTTGTTTGCATTTTGTTAGTGCCTTTTCCGTCTCATTGTTTTTCAGTTTGATTACATTAATTTTATGTTTCCAAAATGATTTAAGACTGGAATAGTGTTTTGTGTTTCTATTTAAGGGCAATAAAGTCTATTCCATGGAGATGTTGCTTGGTCGATCCTTTTTTCAACTAAGAAGGAATTAACTGTGGAAAAAGAAATTGGATAATATCTTCTTCAGAGGTTAATTCTCTTTCCATTGTCTCATTGTTGGATCTATACTCATCCTCTTGCCCTTTAGTCATTGCTCTGTCCATATCTGTTCATTCATCTATCTATAAATTATACATCTGTCCAAGGATTCTTCAATCCACTCCCTCCTCCTTTTTTCAGTTTCTCTTTGTTCCGCATTAACATCTTCCTTGAATTTGTAGAGAACTTTAGGATTTCTTTGAAAACTAGGCTTAAAATGACTCTACTTGTCAGCAGACTAGTTACAACAAATGATTTTCATATAAAACATTCGCAGACACCCTTTCATAACACTATACTTGTTCTTTAAAGAAGGAAGAATATGAGAATAGTTAATTTAGGTAGTTAATAGGAGTACACTGCCGTACACTGGTGCGACCGGGCCCTCTGACCACCATCAGTAGACAATGCAGGTTAAGTGTCTTGCCCAAGGACACAACGACAATGAAAGTCGGGGCTTGAACCGTCAATCCTTCGATTTCAGGGCAAACTCCTACATTCAACGCCACTGTCGCAATAAAGGAGTGGTTCGTCAGGTGGGGACCACAGACCACTTCTCAGTACCTTTGTTTTCTAGCTGATTTTTTGGTCACCTTTGAATGTTGGTGCTTTTACACCCATGGTAGCATGAGAACGAATACCAGCCACACAAGCGGCTCAGGTAGTGGAGCTCAACCATGATGGCACATCAATGCGAGCTGTGGCAAGAAGGTTTGCTGTGTCCATTAGCGTAGTGTCCAGAGACTGGAGGTGCTACCAGTCGACAGGCCAGTATACCAAGAAGCCGAGGAGGGCAAAAACTAGCGTTGCACCGTTGCCAATACCAGTGTCTGGTGGGGCCCCAATCCAGCACTAAAATGGTGGTATCGGCGAGTAACGACAAATAGGACACAGATACAATTTTAAGCGCCAAAAGTTTATTCAACTATTGTTACCCATTCAAGGTAGGCAATAAAAAGTTCTACTGGATTCACTTTGTATTAGTCTTTTTTTCCCTGCTTCATAAAGGTAGGCAGCAGCTTGACCAAGCCATGATGGCAATTATTATACATCCAAGTAGTATGCAGTTCTTGCACACAGACATCAATTTTAAACAGATAGTATCGGTATTGTATCGGTCGATACTGCACCGTCAGGTATCTTGTATCGGTATCAGAGCCAAAAAATGGCATCGGCGCAACACTAGCAAAAACCCAGCAGCAGGACCGCTACTATTGCCTTTGTGCAAAGAGGAACAGGAGGAGCACTGCCAGAGCCCTGCAAAATGACCTCCAGAAGGCCACAAAATTGCATGTGTCTGCACAAATGGTTAGAAACCGATTCCATCAGGATGGTATGAGGGCCTGACATCCACAGATGGGGGTTGTACTGTCAGCTAAACACCGTGCAGGATGTGTTGCATTTGGCAGAGAAAAGGTTAGGCAAGTTAGCCAGCTGCCCCCTGTGCTCTTCACAGATGAAAGCAGGTTCACACTGAGCTTCCAAAAAAGTTTAAAAACAATCCACTGGACTTTATTAGTAAGTTTGAAAATGTTTTGCTTCCCATCCAGGAAGCTTTTTCAATTCACTTCCTGGATGGGAAGCAAAACGTCTTCAAACTTGGTAACAGTCCAGTGAATTGTTTTTTTTTACTTTTTTGGAATGACTATGACCTGGATGACTGACTATCTTCATCTGTATGTTCACACTGAGCACGTGTGACAGAACCTGGAGACACTGTGGAGAGTGATCTTCACCTGCAACATCCTTCAGCATGAGCAGTGGTAGTGCGGCAGTTAATAGTGTGGGGGAGAATTTCTTTGGAAGGCCGCATAGCCCTCCATTTGTATACAAAATGACAATAAAAGTTGTCTAAGTCATGTCTGACATCGGGTACCGAAACAAGATTCTTAGACCCCTTGTGAGACCATATGCTAATGCAGTTGGCCCTGGGTTCCTCCTAATGCAGAACAATGCTAGACCCCATGTGGCTGGAGTGTGTCAGCAGTTCTTGCAAATTTAAGGAATTGAGGCTCTGGACTGGCCTGCCCATTCCCTAGACCTGAATCTGGTTGAGAACATTGATGCTTTTGTTGAGTCAGTGAGGAGATCACCACCTCATCCGGAGCATGCCCAAGCATTGTAGGGAGGTTATACAGGCACATAGAGGTCACACACAATACTGAGCCTCATTTTGACCTGTTTTAAGGACATTAATTCAAAGTTGGATCAGCCTATGGTGTGTTTTTCCATTTTAATGTTGTATGTGACTCCAAATCCAGGCTTCGATTGGATAATGCATGTGATTTCATGGATCATTTTTGAGTGATTTTGTTTTCTGCCAATTCAACTTTGTACAGAACAAAGTATTCAATGAGAATATTTCATTCATTCGGATATAGTGTGTTATTTGAGTCCTCCCTTTATTTCTTTGAACAGTGCATTTATTTACTTTTATTCCAAGGTCTAAAATTTTTTTCCTATTATTATTATTATTATTATCAGAGCCCATTCAGGATTTGCCTTTTAAATGCATACAGGATAGTGATGATGTTCTTTAATTATGGCGCATGCCTTCAGTGGCTGCATTCATGATTAGGCCCATGGTTTGCATATCCTAAGGCAAGCTCAAACTGCCGTAGAGTTTCTTAATTATTTATATTATAAAAATCACAGCCTATAGCAGCCAGTAAAGAAAATGTTGTTAACACAGAGGTGT